TGGGATGATAGCAGCACTTGAAGGCAAAGGAAGAAGGTGTACAAGGGGAGTGCACGAAGTCAGAAGAGTTACAAGTCTATGGAAACCAGATGTTCTCATTATACTGGAGCAAGCCACCAACATACCTTCTGAGTGCCAGGTTTAAGATCTCATCTGAGCACTCAGTGGTTCACTTGCTTTTTCTTAAAGAGTTGCCAATTACGAACTGTTTTCCATTAATACACCGGTCTTGAGAGAAAACACTCTACACCCACCCTGCACCCCCAAGACCATCTTCTTTAATACCTCAAAGGTAAAAACACTGCCGATCTCAACGCTGTGCAGGTAAGGAAGGACTGTATTTCCTGTCTGTAGGGACTGGCTCTTTTACAGCAGGTTTTAAGTCAGTGATTGCTGGCTGCTTTTGGTTCATTAATCCTTAAATCCCCACACTCTCTTCTTGAGGTTAATCCAGTTAAAACTCCCCTTTCCCTTTGGTTTGTGCCTTGCATAAATAACCACCTGAAGAGTAGAGCTGCGGAAGCCAATGCTCAGAGTACAGCACTTCCCAGAACTTTGTCCCACTGCAAGAGACAATACAGCATAAATACTTGCTGCTGCCTGTGCCAGAAAGGGAAATCAAGATTAGCTAGGTAAGGGCAAAAGGCACTCCTTATGGATTGCTTAAATCAGCAGGAATCAATCATCCAGTCCAATCCAAATCCCCCAGTTGCTTTCTGCCTAAAGATAACTAGAAACAGGTTTATGCTATACTAAGATAAAGCTGCCTTAAACCAGTGTAAGCCCTTATGTGAAAACCTCCCTTTTTTGGGAGGAGAGGAGAACTTGCCTTTGAGGTCAGCTCTAAATGAGATACTATTACAGCCATATAGGCCATGTGGGATTTGGAAAAGCAACACTGATCAGCAAAAGAAAATCATCTCTGTAGACTTTGCCTGGCTGGTCTGGCCCAGGCAGCTCCCTTGGCACCGAGCCCGTGGGCAGGAGAGCGAAGGCAGCACTAGGAGCAGGGAGCCAGTCTTCATCCTCAGCCTGCCAGGAGAGGCCAGTGCCGTACACAATCCAGCACATGCAGACCACGAGGACTGTCTCATCACACACAAAGCATCAACAGCCTGACCCAGTGAAGAAAACACACCCAGTAAAGGCACAGAGGAATCCCAAGAAGAGTCTTGCCCATTCCCTCCCATGCAGAGAAACAGTGCACAGAAAGCTGTGTGAAAGTGGTTGTGTGAAAGCCTGTCCTTTTCTGACAGGTGAGACCATTGTGACTTCCAGTGGCACTTGTCCCCTGGGAGGAGGCCCTGGGTAACCTGGCACCCTCCCCTGCACAGGCAGTGAGCAGTTGCTGGAGAAATCCTTAAGCTGGGACAGGTTTTAGGACAGACCACATGGATCCCGCCCCTGCAGCCCCTGCATGTATCTGTGTATCTTTCATTGTGAAGCTGGGCCAGAGGCTCTGGAGCAGCAGGCATTGCCTGCCAGAGTCAAAACACTGCACATGGGCTCCCTGGTGCTTGCCAAGCTCTCCAATCTATGCACTAGAGCCAGGACTCGGACCATAAGCTCTTTGTGTTCCTGGTCATTCACAACCAAGAGAAAGAGAAATCTGATTTTGAGGACTGTTTATCAGCCTCATGCTTCCAAGATCCTCAGTCCTGAGAGCAGTAAGAATGAACAGCCCCCTCAGCTTGTTGCCTAACCAGAGAGATAGCAAGCAGGCTATGCATTCTGCCTCCCAGGGTAGAACTCACTGAGGTGAGGAGGTGTGGGGTAAGAGGACAGCACAGGGAGCCGGGTGCCTGCCCAGCTCTGCTCTGCAGCACGTTTCTGACTCCATTCGCGCGGATATGGAGCCGCCGCTGGGTCTCTGGTGCATATTTAAATGCTCATTCTGAATGGCCGATTAGTCAGAAGTGGAATGTTTCTGCATTCACGGAGCAGCTATTTTAAGATTACATTATGCTCTCTGCTTCCATTAATAGGTACATCTATAAAAAAAAAAAAGGAAAGGCGTTACACCCAGCGATGCATTTGTCTCAGACCCGAGAGCTGCATGTCCAGACTCCCAGTGCCAGCAGGGGAAAGCTGATGAGTTGTGTTATTGACAGGCCACATTCTTCTTCACAGCCCCAGAGATCACCAGTCACCAGGCTTGCCAAATCTTGATGGAACAAGTCAAATCACTGTGCTCGGCGGCCACCTCCGCTGCAGGCCTGTCAAGCTGCATCTTCTGTGGCCCTGTTAAACCTCCGTGGAAGTCACCAAACTGAGGGAAGTTAAAGCAGACGAGTGCAGCATCTCACGTGTCCTGCAGCTCCCGAGGAGGCTGACCCAGATACTCTCATTCCAGACACCAGTTTCCCTGCTCATGTTGCCCATGCTCCCCAGTGCTGCCTTCACTCAACCATAACCAGTGCACATCTACACCACTCCAGTGCCTCTGGAGCCTCTTTGAGTCCACAGATATTGGACAAGCTGAAAGTTCACAGGAACTTGTTTTGGAGCAAACTGAGAACTCTCAGGTTTTTTAAGCTAACGAAAATCACTAAATGCTGTCAAAATTTTAGGCAAAACAGAGGCAATTTTAGGAAAATACACATTTATGTTTGGCCAAGACCAACGCCTCCCAAGCTCTCCTGTGTGTGTTAGGAATGCAGCTGTATCCATAACATTCACACACAACCACCCATCCACTCTAACTTCCACATTTGTTTCCTTTACCCTCTCCAAGCCTGGGCTGCGATATCAGGGTTTGATCAGCGTGGTTTTCTGAGAGGGGGGACTGGAGGAGCTAAGAGGACAAACATGGACACAAGCACTTTGCCAAACACCACAGAGAAGTTCCATGCCAATGCCACAAGGGAAGTTACTTTAACTCCAAAAATCAATACTCTTAACACGGGGCAGATTCGGTAAGGAGTCAATTTTCTGTCAACAGCTTTGCTTTTACTAACAAGTTTATTCAGATCGTTTTGAAGATCAAAGCCACAAAATCTAACAGGTACAGGTATAATAAATCTCATTAAAACCAGAGCAGGTCAGCCCTCTGATGAACTTAAGCTGTAGATCCTTCTAATGCTCTTGAAGAAAGCTCGGGTGACCAGCCAAATGAGGATTCCCTCAGCTCACAAATCCACATCTTCTGAGCCAAGTGGAAATACTGTATGAGCTAAGCAAAACAGAGTTTTGTGTGTGGGTTGGTTTTCTTTTTTTTTTTTTAAACAATGTGAAGAGCAAGCAAAAAGCCTCAAATTATGCAGCAAAAATAATAGAGCTGAAAATAAAATCCAACTTGGAGGAAAAAAGGTGGTATAAAAACATTAACCGATGTTACTTTGATGTTGGATGCAAATCTGAAGAAATGCATTAGCCCACACAGGCACAAAAACTACAAAAAAACCAACAACTAATAGTATGTGAACTCTAGAGTACAGCTCTGCTGCAACATGATTTACACCCAACAGCAGTTGCTGTATCAAATGCAGAGGTGGAAATGCAGTAGTAGCAGCACATACATATATATAATATATATATATCTCCAAAAAACTATTACATGGTGTCAGGAAATTAAATAGAAGGATGCCCAAATGCTTGAAAGCACTGCTTTAAACAAACCTAATATGAAGTCTGACCTTGTGAGTCCTCAGTCCTGGGAGGGCTCCACTTCCACTGCACTGAGGGGGAATGGACACGGACACCACACACAGGCAGGACAAGGAGCTGTACAGGCTCACTAACAGCACTTATAGTGCTCCAAAACTTTGGCCATTGTGGAGAAACAGTAAATTCTTGGCACAAATACAGACATTTCAACTTTGTTCATTTTACTGCAGCAATAAAGATATTGCTTTACAGATGCCACAGCTGATATGTGCAAAAAATGTGGAACAGAAAGATAGTTTCTAACTTTCTCAGTTAAAACACACCCACCCACCCACCAAGGATTAAAAAAATCTCTTCCCCCAAGATGTCAAGATATTTCTTTTACCAAAGCATTGGGTTTTCCTGGATTTTTAACTAGGATAGTAAGAATAAAACCAGGCTTTTAATGCAGAAAACACTTCTGTGAAACTATGGCAGAGGTAGAAAATCCTGGATTGCATTTAACTAGTGAGCAAGGTCACAAATTAAGTAGTCTGAGAATTTCTGGTAGCTTAGCCCCGAAATAGTTCCCCTTTTTTCCCTTCCCAACCCCCTCCACTACTTAGCTCAAAATGCAAGACCAACAAGAACACATGATACAGCTGCATTGGTAGGGGCAAATACATGGCTGAAGTCACAGGAGCACATTCTTCAGGGCTCATGAACCATCACATGACAAACATCACAAGAAGTCAATTTACTAAACTCAATTTAAACTTGAAGAAGTTAATAATAATAACAAAACCCACACTGGAAATGTCTCTTAGGAAGGGAGAAGCTGCATTTGAAAGGGAAAAATAAACAACAAAGCCAAGATTAGTTCTCATGTTATTTGAAACTTTTGATTTCTAGTGCTACATACACAAGTTACTATTGCTTACTAGTCCCTGATATATACTTGTAGTTACACAGCCTACAGCAAACAAAAAAGTTGACCAGCAGCCAGTGAAGACCTTATCAATAAGCCTCTCACAAACATAAAAATGTTTGAATTCAATTGCACAGACTTGAGCTAAATCCCTTCTGATTCTACATGTTTGAAAACCAGCAGCCTGTTCATTTACTATAAAGCTTATAGGTAAGAGTGACTTCTTTTTCAAAAAGAGGACATGCAATTCAGGACAAGCAAGGATGTTCCTTCTCCTTAGCTGTCACAAAGTACTGACAGCTATTCAGAGCACACACAGGCTTTGCTTCCAGCTCCAACCAGACAAACGGAAATAAAAGCAGAACTGCCTGTTAACAAGATGGCACTGTACAAACTGATGATCAGTACACTTTATCTGTACTCATTTCTGTACCAGGACAAAGGAACGTGGTTTTGGTTTTGTTGTTTTGTTTTTTTTTTTAATTTCATGAGAGCTACTTTCATTGGAAAAGTCTCAAAGCTATACTAACATTTTATCCTGACAATTTAATTAGGGATTGATCCAGTTCTAGTGCTCAACATTTAGAGATCCGGAAGGCTCTCAGCTGTTTAAAAAGGTTGCAGTGATCTGCAGAGCCACCATCAAACAGATCACTGTAGACTCATCCTTGGGATTAAGTCATCTCTATTTGTGAGCCCTTATGTGATGATCTGTTACAGAGCGTAAGTACTGCATGAAAGCCTCTTCAAGGCCTTCACCACCATCTGTGAATTACATTATTAACAATGGTATGAACTTCCTAAGAGCATCTGGTTCTCTCCCCACCCCCTTCTCAAATCACTGCAAAGAGCTCTTCAGTATCAAAACAGGCTCAGGCAAAGCTGTTTTCCACTTTTCCATCTTTCCCCACCTCCTCCCGCCCTCCAGCAGCAGAGGGTAGATGGGGCTCAGCTCTCCATTTCCGTGCCCTGCGTGTTTTCTGCACAACTCTTGTTATTGTTCAATAAAGATGGACCAAACCAACCCTGTGATGCTTGAACCACAGGCATTTTACTGGGAAAAGCGGAAGTTTATTCCCTCCTTTTGCAGAGGCAGCATCTGAAGAACGCTATGAACTGCTGAGGCACCGCGGGGACTGCACATTCCCACCCCGGGATTCGCTTCCCACCAGCACAATTCCTGACATTAACCAAACCCAGGCAGCAGCCATTCAGCCAACTTGAACAGTTACTGCTGTAGCAGTAACTTCCTACATGCAAAGAGGTATTTTGTCATCCCAATCCTCCTCCCCACCAAGGATGTTTCAGCAGTTTATTCTGAAATCATGCCAGCTTCTTGTAAACAAGAAGGAGGAAGAGGCAGCATTGCCCGGGACACTGGAGCACAAACTCTCCACTGAACTTTGCACAGAGTTCACACCAACCAGCCTCCTTGGCTGCTCTAAGGGATCATTTGCTCTTGCAGGACCAGAGTTTTCCTATCTTGCTCTTCAAACCCAGCTTCTCTTCTTGCTCTAAACATAGGGCTTCCCATCGCCTCAACTTCCTGTGCACTTCAGCAGCAGTTTTTCCACTCTGTTTTGCACAATGTAGTTCTTCAGTTGCACAACAGCTTGCAAATGCAGACATGGTTACAGTCCTGTAACACACAGCATCTTCCTCTGTCTTAAGTCAGCAGCAGCGTTTCTTGAGAGAAAAGAGCCACACTATGGGCAGCTTCATAAAGACTTGCATTCAGGAGGAAACAGCATCCAAAACTAACAATCCTGCAATGTGCAGTAACAGGCAGAAAATCCTGGGCGGGGTGAGGGAGACAAAACTGCTCCTGCACAAATTCACATGAACCTTTCTTCTAACACGCTGTTTCTCTTATGCTCATGTTTCAAATAAACAATCACACGTATGTTGAGGTGCTCAGACAGCAGCATCTAGAACATACTCCTGCTGTAATTAAAGGCAAATAAAGAATATCTTCAAGTTTACAAAACAATGGGCAAGTACGTTTATTTGGGGTCAGCATCACTCCTGTGCTGCCCAAATCCATGCTCTTTGTGTGGGTTGTAACAGGAAGGCTGCAGTTACTGCTGGCCTCAAGCTACATCAGGGGAGGAAGCCTCCAGGGCCCTTCTGCCAGGGTTTAATTTCATATTGGTCCCTCTGCTTTGGACGGTGGGTGAGGCTGAAGATGGACCACTACCCAAACTCCTGGGAAAGGCCACGGCTGTGTTTTAATGCAGCCATTTAAAAAAGGCAAGAGAGCCGTAAGAAAATCAAGCGAGTTTTATGAGTGGCTTTAGAGGGATGGCTTAACGACAGAATCCCACTCTTATTCCCTACAGCTTATTGGGAGGGGTGCAGGGAGAAGAAAAGCCAAGAAACTGGCAAGTCTTGGAGCAAATTAGTGGCAATTAGAGATAGGCTCTGCCAAGCCCAGCTCCCAGCATACAGTGGGAGCACAGCATCTGATCAAGAGGATTTTTATAACATCGGTATCTGGAGCAACTAAATTTGGAATGAATTCCCATCTTCCAAACAGTATGTACAGGTGACCATGTAATCAAATTAACCAATATCTTGCTAAATCAGTGCATTGAATATTACCCAATGAGCTCATTTTTGGAGGCAGTTCAACGCCTCACTTCTAGGACTGATGTCAGTGTCACATGCTTGGAGAGGATCAGTCTGCAGCTGGATATTTTAAAGCCTTCTATTAGGAGCACAGAAAAGTCAGCGGATTTCAACAGCATCAGCTGAAGAATTTGTGTCTTATCATAACAATTTAGCCACCAGACCCCACTGTCAATATTTCTTTGAGAATATCAGGCTATTTCAGACAGTTCCCCCTCCCTCCACTTTAAGGCAATAGAGGGAAACTCAAGAGTGCAGCAACTGAGTTGTGTTTCAACAGAGAAAGTTGTGTTTCAACAGAGAAAGTTGTGTTTCAACAAAAAAGGAAATCAACAGAAAGACATGGAAACAGGAAACTCTTGCTGATTCTGACTGCCTCCTGATAAAACAATTAACTTTTGAGAGACTAAACTCAGCAGTTGTAAAAATACACAAACAAACAAACAATAGCAGGGCAAAGGATGCTCAGCATCAGTAGCACAAACAGTTCAGGCAGCAACATTCAACCCTGAGTTCAAATCCCATTCACTCACAGACCAACTGTGATGTCATCTTTTATTCTGACATAATGCAGGATGTCACTGAGGTTCGGTGGCAAGTGTTCATGCAGGATCTGTGAGGTCTCCACACTTTGATGCTCTCTGCTTGCACTTTGTACCAACAAGCAGGAACAGATTTGCATTACACAAATAAGCAGTGTCTTCATTGTGCAACCACATGCGACTTTTTTGGAGAAAAACAATGCTGAAATACAAGGAGTGCTGTGTGCATCAGGCTGCAGAGTGGGTGGCAGTGATGTTGTCAGAAAGCACTCGGCACCGCTTACCTCCACACCCATTGACTTCAGCAGAAGGCTACATACGAAAAGTCTCTGAAGACGAAGCTGAAGTGTTCCCTAACCCATGGCGCTGTCCATACACTATACTTAAGAAAGAGACAAAACAAAAACCACACAAGTGAAGCAGTTTGAAATTGTAGGTTTTGGTTTGGTTTTTTTTTTAAAGACTCCCTATTCCAGTTAAGAAATCAGACTATAGAGTTGTGAGCGAGCCCTTCCCCACACCATCGGAGCCTTTTCCACCTCTGGAGTGTAGGATGGGAACCACGGTATTTTACTGCATGCTTACAGTGCTCCCAGAAGACCTTGGATGAAGTTGCCTTAAAGCTTCTCGTTCTGCTCAGCTGTTAAATTGTTCAGTGAGGCTGGCTGGGTCAGTCAGGGGCTGTACCAAAACCCACAGCCCTCACGTGCAACACAGGGAGATTCCCTGGGAGCTTCCCTCCATAAAGTTCACAGACTCCGCCTCTGTTTCCTGAGCAGTTCAGTTCACCCTCACCCAGGCTACAAGCTGCATTTGTAATAGCTTTAAGGAGAGTCCAAGGCAAGAAGCTCTAAATCTCCATGAATGTGAAGCCCATATACAGGATTACAGAGTAACGAGCAGCTGAGGTACCTCCAGAGGAAACGGCACAAAGACTTGAACTTCCCACTTGAACTTCAGTGTGAAGACCCTCCTGGCATTGTGACCCAATGGGAGCATAAATGCATTTGGTGCACAGGCTGCAGCTGGGGTCAGGGAAGGTTTTTATAACCAAGACAAACTCCCTCACAGTGTTCCAGCAGTTAAGTCCCAGAGGCCTGTGACTATTTTCAGACTGTAGTTTTTATCCCGGGCAGCCACTCGAAGAAAGCAGAGACCAAAGGAAATAACAAGATCCTTACATGTACAAGCTCTCATTTAGCTGCTTGTGGTTCAGCAAGACATTCCCTCTCATTTCAAGATGAGGTTTATAAATTCAGTGCACCTCAAAGGTTTTAGAGTGAGCAGAATGCATCCTTCATTCCAAACTATCCCATTTGCAGCCAGAACTCCTCTCCACAGAGCTCAATTTTTTTTTTCAGAGGTTTGAAGCTCTTTGGCAGTTATGTGCAGCTCAGACCAGCCTGCACATTTCTCTCTTTCTCTCTCTCTTTTTTTTTTTTAATTTTAGACTTAATGTAGCATGTACTCTCAGAAAGGTTTACAATGCAGCCTTTTGTAGTTAACTTGCTCCAAGCTGGGCCACTGCCAGGTTGTTATCAATGACATTTTAAGGCAGATGAATGAAGTTCTTATTACGGTGACAAGCAGAATTGTGATATGGCACATGCATACACTGAAAGAAGAGAGCTTGCTATTAGTTTGTCAGGTTAATAAATAAATAGCGATTTCATGAATAAAAGCCTTTTATTAGGAAACAAATGAACAAAATTAATATTTATAAAGCTTTAGTGCTTTAGAGCACCCTTTAAAATAACATTATTCCATTTCAGTCCGAGCCACCATCACAGATGAGAGATTCTTGAACACAGCTTCCCCTCCTAATTCTCTTATCATAGCAGTGCAAGGCAGGAGGCAAAGCTGTGCCTTCTGAAATGTTCAGGCCAGACTCAGGCCTGTCACGAGGAACTCCTCCGTTTGGGTCTGACAATACCGAAGGCCCACAACAGCAAACATTTCTGTGACATCTTCAGGACTGCAGCTAAAGGCTGCACCTGTTGGAAGAGCTGTTGGTTCCTTATCAGAGCAGGAAGTTCTCACGTTTTGCACAGCGAGCTTCCCCAGCACACAGAGCACTGAACCCACGCCAAGGCACGGAGAGCGATGCTGCGCGTCAGCCAAAGCGCCCGCGAGCAACGCTCGCCTGGGAAATCACTCCCCATCTGCCCCCAGAAAAGACTCTTCACTAATGCCCTGTTGATATCTCTCACTGCTTCAGGGTTCCTCAGCATCTCCCACAGCATGTGCAGAGAATGTTCACCACCAGAGTGATGTTTCAGTGTCCGGGATGTCCCACATCACAGCGAGTACATGAGATTCTGACACATCCAGATCACTTCTCACCTCAAGCTGTCATTGCACTTACTCCCTTCAGCTCGAGGTGTTCTCTGCTCATCTGTCCTAAAACCAAACCTTTGCAAGTTTAAACTCTAAACAAGCTGAGTAGTTTTGGTTTGGGTTTTGTTCCGAGGTTTTGCAGGGATGTTTGTAGGGAGGGGGTCGTTTAATTTTGGTTTTATTGGTTTTTTTAATAATTTACTTTTTAAAAAGTAAAGTAAAGTAAAGTGCCTTTTACTTGAGGCACTTCTCAAGTTTAGAATCAAGATGTGAACAAGTACTCGAGCTTAAAAATTTATTTTTGCTCATGCCATCTTCTCCTCAAATACTAAAAAAAAAGTCATCAAACTTCTCCCTTCTCCTCAAGGCAAAGTCAAGTCTGAACTTTCTCGCTCATAAGAGAACCAGACAGAAACTGCCCCAAAATAACCATCTCAGCCATCTACAGTCAACATGAACAGATCTAAGTTAAACAGAGCTTCCTCCCTACAAGAGCAGTTTCTGGGGTATGTGTAAAAGAAAAAAAAAAAAAATTCCACTTCAAAGACCAAAGTGTGGGTTGCAGAAGCCTGTGGCACAGTTCTTATCTTTGCAGCATGAAGCACATGTAGAGATCAGGGATCTGTAAAATGTTTGTGAAAAATATTTGTTTCACCCACTGAGACGATGCAGACTCTGTTCCAGTCATACTATGAACGTTAACTTGTAATGCCTCCCTTGCCCTAAAGTTTATATAACCATGCCCAACTTCTGGGAAGGCATTTGAAAATATGCTCTCTTCATATTGGTTTGCCCTGACACCCCTTTATTTGAGATTCAGGAGCAGAGAGAAGCTGCACAGGACAATTCATTCCCAGGACACCACTGAGGCAGTGACACAGCGAAGTGCTGAGGGGCACGATGACGGGTGGGCACAAAAAGGAAGAGAAAATATATTAATATTTGATTCCCATGTGCAACTGTACTGACAAGTTCATGCAAAATTAGACTCGACCCACACTACAGGGGTAGCTGCTGTCTGAAGATTCATTAAGAGCTGGAATTCAGGCTTAGACATTCTATTAACTGCTGCAGAACCAAAATACTACCACAGAGGAAGAAATACCACAAAGAACAAAAAAGTCTAAGTTGTCCTGTTTCACTTCACTTTTTGAAGTCACAAGCTTGCTCTCCCACATAAGCACAACTCGGCTGAAAACAAAAACAGAGGAAACTCCCAGTAACGAAACTCACTAGATGTTACATAAGAAAAATATTTGTTCAGAAAGTGAATTAAATCTTTGTCAACCATTCTGCAATGTTAAAGGGCAAACGGGAGGGCTGTCATTTCAAGGTTTGCACTTCACTCAGGAAGACAATATAATATAGCATCTAGGTAGCTGTTCCATACCACAGTTTGAAGCACTCTACTTAAATACTGTGGTTACAGCACCTCTGAAGAACATGCCCAGAGCTGTTTGTCTTTAAACTATTTTAAACTGTTGAGGAGGACTGTGGAAAGGAAAACAAAACCAAAAAGACAACAACAGAAACAAAGAAAAACAAAAAAAGAATCAATCCTTATTCCAGAAACACCTTTATCTCCTCACCTAGCATTTCCTCTTGTAACTAGGTTTAGCTCCTGTCTGTAGGTCAGAGAGCTGAGTCATTTCCCTGCCTGCCCCACAGCTACTTATGAGCTAAATTTTCAGTGTGACACTCTGTTTCCTACAGAAGACGTTCCAGAACTTGGGACTGCTGCAAGGGAACAGCAGGCTCAAAAGGATACCTGCCACCACACAAGAAGCTCACAGACACCTGCTGACTCTCTGCAGTCCTTTCAGTAGCTTCAGAGACCCATGGGAAACTCCATCTTCAGATGGACTGAGCCAAAGGGTTGGTCCTGCAACACTCAGAAGACCTCAAACTACCAACAAAGCTCTCCTTTGGAAAGCAAAGTATTTTACACATGGAAGACATATGCCTTATCCCTCCCTCTCATCACCACTAAAAGGCTGAGAGATGAAAAGCCTAACAGGTTTTGGTTTTTTCCTGAAGAATCCTAATATGCACATTTCTCAGATGTCAGACACTGAAGCTAAACCAAGCCAGTTGAACAAGTCTTAAAAGTTCTTGCTGCAGTTTTAAATATGATAGTTCTGTACATCAAAACAGAAGGGACACAATAGCAGCAAGTGAGAATAATAGGACAGGTACAGTCCCCTGTGACAGGACCAGCTCTCCACATTAAAATCCACTTCTCAGATATTTAATCCAGTTAAAAGTTGAAGATCAACTCCTGAGACAACATCTCTGGAATTTACTTCTCCAAGGTCTCCTTCACTGCTCTACTTGCAGAGCAGTGAAAAGCTCAAGCATCCAAGCCACCTGCTGAGCTCTGGTACGAACTTAGTACAGGGACAGTGCGATCTGTGATAAAAGAGTTCTTTCCAAATAGGTCAGATGAAATAACCTAATGTCTCTGATTACCTCAATACAAGTAGTTTACACTGTGGCCTCAAGTTCCCCACTAACTTCACCCTGAAACAGCCCACACAGATGCAGTAACTCCATTATTGCCGTGAAGCCCTAGTTCAGGGGTTCCTTGGGAGAAGGAAGAGGACCAGTGCACCCAAAGGCAGGGAGCAGCCACAACCCAAAGGCATTTCGTGAGTGCCACGGGCGTTCTGTTCAGCGGGGCCATGAGGAGTTCACAGGGCACTGCCAGCCTGGGTGCTCAGTAAGGGCGCGTCTCACCATGGAAGCAACGAGCTGTTTAACTGTGTGACTCATCTTACAGCAACGTCCTCTGCCTTCCAGAGGAGATCAGCCTGCAGTGAGCAACGCTGATAAGATGCATATTCAGAGTCATTCTGTTTGGGCAAAAAGCTATTGACACATTCAAGCCCGGCCGTACAGGGGCCTGCCCAAACGCTGACTAAAACAGGGGAACACACGCACTGCAGCACTGGAGTATTGTGATAAGATATTTTGCAGATGGTTGACAGTAATTTAATCAATTTATACGGCCCGACTCGGAAATGCAAAAATGGCTTTTGGCCTTCATAGTTTTTTATCCCTTTAAACAGAGCACTCTGGAGGAAGAGCTTCCAGACAAAAGGTAAGAAACACTGTCTGCCTTGTTTAAATCACTACTTCCAATAGATATCAGCTCTTTCTTCTCCTGCTTCCAAGATTACCCTCTTACACAAAAGATATGAGCTTCACTATCAGTAATGATCAAATTAAAAGAACGCTCAGGC